ACACATTCCAACCATCAAAACCATGCCAGGGCACCTCGTTTCTCTAAACCTAACCCTACCGTGGGGCATATCCCTAACCTTAATTTAGGGTGAAAGTTCCACTGCAAAGAGGGCAATTTTTAAAAAGCCTCCCTTGAGTAGCTTTTTCTGCGCATCTCAACGTTTCTGCCCAATCTAAGCACCTTGTCACGATCAAAACCACGCCAGGACACCTCGTTTTTGTAACCCTGACCCAGTGATGGTGAACCTTTGAAGACCAAGTTCCCATACTCCAATGCAAAACCCACATATTCATCAGAAAGAGAAGGCAGCAAAAGAGAGACTCACGTCTTCTGTCACAAATTCCTTGCTCAGCCCAAAGTCCGTAAGCACCACATGGCCCTCGTTGTCCAGCAAGATGTTCTCCAGCTTCACATCCCGGTAAACAATGCCAAGCTGGGGGGGCAAGGAGGGATATGAATTTCAGAGTTTGTCCTGCCAACCTCCGTTTGCCAACCTCTCTCTTTCACCCCAGGTACCTCCTGGTCTAGACCTCTACCAGCCTCATCCGAGTGATTGTGGGAGCTGTAGTCTAACTCCAGTGGGCCTTGCCGGTGTTGGGCAAGGCCAGACGATCTGCATGCAGCAACCACATTAAACCAGATCAGACTCCCAGGAACGCAAGAGCCCTTCTGGATGGACCAAGGCCCAACCAGTCCAGTATCCTGCCTACACGATGGCCTGCCAGCAGCCCATGGGAAGCCCAGGAGCAGGATTATGGCCGTGAGATTCATGGGCAGCCTCCTCCTCCATGCACCGGGTCCAACCCCTCTTTACAGTCCTCCAGTGGGTGCCCAGCATCGCGGAACAGAATCCCACGCTGCAACAGGCCACCGGGCAAGGAAGCCCCTCTCTCGTCTCTCCTGCCTGCCGGCCAGCTTCGCAGGGCCCTCGCTGGGCCGAGGAACGTTGCAAGGGGAGAAACCCCTCACTCAGCGCTTTCCACACTGCACACGTAGGCCGGGAGGGCAGCAGTCCCTCATGCCTGGGTTCCCCCGCGACTGGCATGGAGCACCCTCCTGGAGGTGGCTCCCAGCCATCAGGACCAGCAGCCTCTCATGGCCGTCTCCTCTGGGAATCTGGCCGGGCGGGTGGCCACTGGAAGGAGTCCTCCATCCAGCTCAGCGGTTATTCACTATTCACAAGCGCTGGCTTTCCAAAGTGTTGGCAGGAAGCCTCTCGGGGCCAACCCAGATGTGACATTTTCCATGCAACCAGCCATGGAGGAATCTTTTTTAAAAAGCAAATCGCAAGCAAAACTATGGGTGATATGCCTCCCCTGTCCAGACAACCCCAGGACAGAGTTTATATTTTTACAATGTTGTATTTGGTTTTTTTAGAAGGTGAGGGGGATCTGAGCTGATACCAAGGCCCATGAGAAGAGTTTAACCCCTACCCTGCCACACAATCCTGATCTGGTGGAGAAGCACACAGCCTCCATCCACCACTCCCATTTCCATGGCTGGAATTATGGCCCATGGGATGCTTCTCTCCCATGCAACTCACACCTGCACGGTACGCGTCTAGTCTGGGACCCACAGCGGGCACCAAAGGGGCTTAAGAAGCTTCTTTCGAGCTGGGTCGACTATTTACTTTTTCTTTTTAAAAACGAAACCGCATAATATTGCCACAAATGGTTGACCGTCACATTGCCTGTGACCTGGTCTTGTTTTTAACCTGTAGTCTCGTCTAGTCTAACCGATGCAATGCAATGCCTATCACATAATGGTTTTATCATCGGACTTTCCTCCTGTGGAAAGGATTCAAGTTCACCCAGCTCCTCCCTTCCCCCTCCTCACCTTGTGGAGGTGATCGAGCGCCAAAATGATCTCCCCGCTATAAAACCGCACCTCGTCCTCGGAGAAATGGTCCCGTTGGAACAAGTGCGTGAAGAGCTCCCCGCCACTCACGTAATCTGAGAGGGAGGAAAGGGGCAGGTGAGTCAAGGCAAGAAATCCACCCGGGATACCAACCTCCAATCCCAAAATGCGCTGCTGGCACATCCACCTCCTTCACGGATCGCGACAGGTTCCTCTCCCAGGGAAAGAGGCATCCCTGTATCCAAAAAGAACTACGTTTATGGCACCTTTCCCCCCGTTACGGCTGAGTTTTGTGCACCTTAAATTCAATCTGCAAGCTTAGACCTCAGCAATGCCTACTTCAAAAAACACACGTGGCCAGAAATGTTACATTTCTGGCCCTCATGGCAGCACAGAAAAGCTAAGAAATTGGGGCAGCGGCATCTGGAAAAGGGCAAGAAACTGTGACTGGGTGCATCTTTCCACCCTTATGCCCAGCAGAATCCTTCTGGGTGCGTTACGCAGCTCCTTCGTTCTGTATGATCTGCGGAGGTCCGTCTCCAAGAGCCCTCCTTGAAAGAGCTGAGGAGGCTGTTATGAGCAGAAGGGCCGCTTCTGCTACAGCATCCCGATGGTCGCACTTGTTCCCCAAAGATCAAGCATTGGCACTGTTGGTTTTTTATTGTTTTACGGCTTTTAATTGTTGTAAACTGCCTTGAGATTTTTTGGGGAATAAATTATGGTATAAAAAGCCGTAACTAACCAACCAACCAAATGCACTAGACTAAGTCTCTGAATGCATTTCAAAAGAGTCTAAATTATTTTAAAACAGAATATGGGTAATAGGTTATTAGCTGGGACTGGCACATATCTTGCCAGTCATGAACACCATTGTGTAAACTCCTGGTCTTTTTCCAGGGCCTATTTAAAGAGCTGGGTTTAACTTACAAAGCCCTAAATGGCTTAGGACTAAAATATATCAAGGACTAACACACTGCCTGTAATAATGGGGGATTCAGGTCAAAGAAAGAAAAAGGATTCTTCCCTTGGTGTACAGATAAACTCTGGAATTAGTGGCCACTAGAGACGGCTGCCAACCTGGCTGCAAAAGGATGGAGAAGCCCGTGGAGCAGAAGGCTAGCACAGGCTTCTAGTCCTGATGGGTCTCAAGACCAGTTGCTGAGGAACACAGACAGAACGGGACTACCACGCCCAAGTTCCGCTTGCAGGCTTCCCTTTGCAGGCAGAACGCTGGACTAGGTAGCCCTCGGCCAGATGCTGTTCTTCCAAACCTGCCCAGAGGGAGGTCCCTGCACCATCTGAGGCAACGGTGGGATATTTATTTTACTTTATTTATTATTGATTAGATATATTTCTTTTTTTAAAGAGGTCAAAGCACCTGCCAGCATTCTCCTCCTCCCCTTCTCAGCTGCTGTGAGGCAGCTTGGGCTGAGAGTCTGGAACTGGCCCCCAGTCACCCAAGCTGGCTCTGCGGCCGAGTGGGGAGCAGAACCCAGACTGCCTGAGTCCCAGCCCTAACCACTACACCGCACTGCCTCAGCACACTGGGAGATGGCATTGTGGCACCCAGCCTTGGCATATTGCTCTCCAGGGACCCTGGCAACTAAAAGACTCTTCATTGAAGACATTCCGCTGTTTGGCTGATGTGCTTATCCGGCTCTTTACGAAGTTCTCCTGTCACAGATATATTTTTATAATATTATACAACATTATAATATTTAATATTTAACCATAATATTTAATATTTAACATATTGTACATATAAACAATATAGTAAATTTCATATTATTACATATGAAATTACATATTTATAATTTGTAAACTATATTTAATTTATATTTTGCTTTGCTTATTATCTTCGATTGTATTTAATTTTATTGATCGTATATTGTCTTGACAAAGCAGACCTCCACCCCACACAGCAGGACTGCACTTGTGTCTTTTAAAAACAAAGTATAAACCAGCTACAAAAAGGTGAATATTGGAAAAAAAAATATATATAAATGCTTAGGATACATGATACTGGGGTGGGAGGTACCTTAATGTTAAGATCAGATGAAAAAATGATTAAAAGATTGTATAGCTTTCTCTTAGACATGAAAATGGGCCCTCCGGTTCTCATCAACCCCAGCCAACGTGGCCAATGGTTAGGGAGGATGGGAACCGTAGTCCAGGAACTTCTGGGGCTGCCCCACCCTGGAAAGACGAGACGCACCCAGCTCCGCACGCAGAACTCAGTCCCTGCCCCCTTCGCCGCCCTCCCGGGGGCACGTACCTAGGATAAGGTGGAGCTTGGAGTCCGTCTGAAAGGCGTAGTGCAGGGTCACCAGGAAGGGCGACTGGCGCACGTGCTCCAGCACCGCCCGCTCGGTGCGCGTGTGCTCCGTCGTCTTGGCCTTGGCCACGATGGCGGCCTTGCGCAGCACCTTCATGGCGTACAGCTTGTTTGCGTCGTGGCCGGTGAGCTTGCGCACCAGGAACACCTTTCCGTAGGCTAGAGGGGGCAGGCAGCCGCGTCAGGAGAGTCAGCCATGGGGCCCTCGCCCCCAACCTCTGCCCCGTCCCCACCGTCGCGGCCTCTTCGACCCGTCTCGCGACCGGCCAGGCACGCCATTGGGCTCGCTCAGTTTGACGCACGAGCCAAAAAACGGCCTTCCCGGAGATGGAAGAGGTACTGGACTGCGAGCCCCATCATCTCCAGCCAGTGTGGCCAACAGCTGGGGATTATGGGTAGCACAGTGCTGCAGGGAGACATCAGTTTTAGGAAGTCTAGACTAAAGCATTTTAGCATGTCTTTGTATTAAAAAAAAAAAGGAAGCAAAAGTCACTGTACTGGTCCATAAGAAAAAACACCCTCAAAAATTTACAGTTGGGCAATACCTTGGTTAACGCAACTGAAATGCTACGAAACAGCGAGATTTCCAGAACTCTTTATCAGACTATATATTTGACCAAGGAGAGGTTGTGGGGTGGAGGAGGAGGAGGAGGAGGAGGAGGAGGAAAGACAAGCCAGGAGCACACCTTTCCCAGCATCTCCCAGTCGCCACAGCTGGGCGTTATCAGCCTTCTTCTGTCTAAACTCACACCCCTGAATACTTGCCATGCAGTTCTGCTGCCTCAAACACGGAAGCGCGTGAATTTTACAGACAGGCCGAGTCTCCCCACCCAGGCCCACAAGCCGAAAATCTGCCTGTTTGCAAAGAGTTGCAAGGATTTATTTGAATTTCGCAGGAAGCCAAGGCAGCCGATTCACTTCTCACCAAAATCACTTCAGACAACAGAAATACTTCAATTAATTTGCACCCAATCTGGATTTTTTTCCCCTCCCTGAAGCTTAATGGTGGGGAAAAATAGAGAGAATGCATCCTTCACCAGATCTAACACCCAGCTTTGGGGGTAAGACGGGACCTTCGTTCCTTCCCCTCGTCCTGCCACCTGCTGCTCCGAGTGAGACCTCAATTTGATGAAGTCTTCTGGGGAACCTGAATCTTGCCCACTGTTTTGCGACATTTTGGTTGGGTTGGTATATTGCCTTTCTGGCAAAGTAGCCAAAGCAGCGACCCCCAAAAAAGCATAATAAAAGAAGATAAGCAGTAATTACAAGGGAAAACTACTCCATTTTAATTTTAAACCTGGATTTTATTCTTAGTTGATCATTTTTGGGCAAAAATATGGACTGTACGGTAAATAAAAGGGGAATGAATAAACACTTGATCAACCGAGACGACGGTGCTGCAGTTTCCTTAAAAGGCTTTATAGTCTCCCATCCCTAATTCCTTCGCTACGGCTTCAATCTTTTGCATGTTTTGACAAAAGACAATTCTACTGCTCCAGGCATTTCCCAACCAGCCTTGCTTTAGGACTTATTTTCTGTCTAAGTGTGCATAGGATTGTGCTATAAATGAACTTGGTGTAACTTGTAAGACACTGTCGTGAAAGACGGGTTAGAAATGTTTTATTAAATTAAATTGAACTTGTCATGAAAAGGAAAGAAGTACGGGAGAGATGGTGCTGCACCGGAAATTCCAGAGCCTTGGGCCACCACGGAGAAGACCCTGCCAGTAAAAGTCATACTGAGTCACACCAGTTAGGTTTCTCACCTTGCATCCCTACTGTAGCCTAAAAGGTATTTCTGAGAAGCTAGCAATCCTGATTACAAGAAAATGGTCTGCATGCAGGTCCGCTGTCGTACAATATCTGGCACACAGAGATACACTGCCCCTGAACATGCAGGTTCTACTTAGCTACCATGGAGAATAGCCATTAACAAGAAGGGCAAGGTTATTGCTTTAGGGCTTAATGGGCAAGCGGGGGCTCCCCAGAGCTATTTATCAGAGTCCGGAGTGCCCACCGGTGCTAATGAAAAAGAAAGTTTTGATCTTTGGCTTGCTTTGCTTAGCTTAATTACTCTGCATGGGGTAATTTTCAAAGGGGATGGCAGGTGGGGAAGGAAGGGTTAACTCCCCTTCGCTTGCTTGCACCACACAGGCTTGACCACACACATGCACACACACACACAAAGACACAAAATCTCCCCCTGCAGAGCAAGGATGCCTGGAAAAACAACAACCCACCAGTCTAAAATGATCGAACCAAGATGCAAACCACATGAAGAACTTACTTTATCTGAGATGATTTGTATTAAAAATAAATATTATCATTTCCCTGTTTTCGCTTTTTCATAGTTCACTACCCCAGAAGCCCCTTAGATATGGAGCAATATATACATGCAGTGAACAAATAAATACTATTGCCAGACTTCGCCTCTTCCGAAATTTCAGTAAATTTCAGTAAATCCTAATCCTTATCTCTACCCTATTTCTGCATATACAGGATATAAACCAACAGATGCCATTTTTATTCAGGTATGGGCCTACTCATCAGATCTTTTACGTCTCTAGAGACACTCCAACCAGCCAGCTTTTCCAAAATCTCATGTTTCCACCTTTAAATCCAAACTTAGAACATTCAGCAAAGTTTTTGAATTGGCAGCAAATTTTGTTTCAAGCTCAAGCTATTTTCTCTGTGTTTTGGGTTTCCGCTTCCCAACTTCTGTTGTCTCGTGTTATTTAATTGTAATAATAATAATTATTATTATTATTATTATTATTCCATGATCATGGACTCAATATAGAATTTAACAGTATTTTTTAAAAATGCAAACACACACACACACAAAGCTGGATTTGACTCACCCCCAGTGCCCAGGACTCTGAGCAGTTCGAAGTTTTCCATGCCAACTCTCTCTTCATGACCAGTCAAGTTAGCTGTTGGGGGGAAAAAAGGAAAATGTTTTAAAATTTGCTTCTTGAGATAAGGATCAAACTGTTCACTGTGAGATGGAGGGAGGCGGCAGTAACCCCAAAAGGCATTCAAAGCCCCCCGGGGCCTCTGCCTCCCCATTTAAAGCCCCCAATCTGACAATTATTCAAGGTGCAGGACACCCACTGAAGACCATGGACTGTGTTTGCAATGCATGTCTGCTCAGAGGCTGATTCCCAAGCTGAAGAGAATGAAATGGCAACCTTAACCTTTGCTGACGTCCGCTGGCCCGAAGCCCACATTTCTAGCCCTTTGACTTAATGGAGACATGGGCAAAACCGCACTGGCTGTGGTTCCCCAAATGGCTCGTAAAGTATTAAACCTGCTTCTACCTTTTGGGAAATATGCTAAGAGATACCGCAACGGCTGCTGCTTTTTATTTATATTCATTTAGTTAGTTATTAAAAGTTTTTCTACCCCGTCCCCTACAGAACGTCTTAAGACGTCTTTTTTTCTTCTTTTAAAAGGCCTCAAAATGACTGAACAGTACAATTCTATGTGGGTTAAGTTAGGAGAAAGGCAGGCCGGGTTTAGAGGGACTTACTCCAAGGCATGGAGTAAATGCAGCCTAGTCTGATAGGACAGTCCTACAACTTCCTGGGAATTGCTGGGCACTCTTCGAAGCACAGATGGGTGCCCTCGATGGCTCTGAACCGTGAGCAGAACGGAAGGGCTTTGCTTAGGTCTCCTGGCCTTTCTCCTCTTGGCTTAAGAGAACCTGGGCTTAACTTTAGGTCCAGCCACCGCCAAGTGTCCGCCTCTGGGCCCGGAGGAGAGTGCCAGCTCCCCACGTCTCCTCCGTGCCACACACGCGTTGCTCACACGCACACCTCACATCCCCACCCTCTTCCCTGGGGTTTTCGGGTGCAAAGGGGTGGAGGCCCCATTTCCGGCCTATGAGTCACAACCTGGCTGCTCCACCGGAGAACGGGCCAGTACTTGCCCGCTTAGGAGGAGTGAGAACCCAAGAGGGCCTGCCGCAAGCAGGGAGCCCGGGTAGAGCATCCCCTGACTCTGCTCTTACAACACTTTAAATTTAATTCTGTACTGCGTGGTTACAGGAGGAGTACCCACATTTTTTGGGCCTCCCTTCTGTTTCTCACTTTGCGTTTTTGCAAGAAAATGTTTGCATTTTTAATGGCACTTTGCTTCCCCTCTCCCGCATTCAGGAGTTTTGTGTCTGTTTTTGCTAAAAATAAATAACTGGATTTATCTCCATCTCAAACTGGGATGAAGAGGGTCATATAATTATAGCCATGTAATTTCTCGCATTTCTATACCACCTTTTGGATCCACTCCAGGCGGTTTGTTAGAAATTCAGAAAACAAACATCATGAACAAACAAAGACACTGTAAAATGTTGCAAACAATTGTTTCAAACCACAAGGGCAATTTTAAAGGCCAAATTATTATTATTAATTACATTTTTGTACTACCTACAGCTAAAGCATTCTGGGAGGAGGATAACATTTAAGTCACCCATCCAAATTTCAACCAGGTCTGACCCTGCTTTGCTTCCAAAATTAGGCAGGGTCAAGCACTTCAAGGAAGCTTTTATACAAATATAAAAGATGTATTTTCCAATTCCAGCTGGTTAAAGATCAGAGACTCTTAGCATATGCAGAGTGCATTTGCAAATACCAATTAGTATTTCTGGAGATTCAATGATGGTTGCTTAGAAAAACTCATAAGGGATAGGGCCATAGTCTATTTACTCTGGTATTCTGTCTCCAGCAAAGGACAGATGCTTCTAGCAGTTCACAGAGAGTATTAAGGTAGACTGTACCTGAACAAGGAAGTCCCATCTTTAGCTATCTTAACCGAGAGCTCTAAAGTGCCACTTTAAAACCTGGCTTGCCCTGAACTGGACTTTCCGCATTTTAGATGGGGGCACAGATATCTAGGCATGACCATTCCGGAGACATTCAAACCAAGAGCACTGAAGGAAAGGCGGGACTGAGGGAGGGAAACAGGTGGTGGATTTCAGGTTCTGTACATCAGAAAGTTGTGGGGCAGTTACGCAAAGGGAGCGAACGGGCAACTCCTAACCTTGGCCTACATTCAGTCATTAGCCTCAACCATACCCAGAAGGAAATAATCGGGTACCACTGGCTGATCCTCAGGTTTTTTTGTTAGCCAAAGATGACTTGACAGGGTGAAAAATGTGCAGGTCTAAGAATCAACCAAGATAATTTTAACCAGTCTTAACTGCGAAATTAGAACAACTAAAGACTTAAGCCCCAACACCGCAAGATTGACGTTGGAAACCGTATTTTGTCTGTATTAAGAAACTATTTCAAATGACAGCGAGCTTTTGAGTGGGGAAGACATGAATTTTTAACGGTATCTGATAATGGATCTTCAAGGCCGCAAGTCTCATCGCTGCAATAAACTCACACTCTCATATTTCAAAATACCACCTTTCTTCCAAGGAACCCAAAATAGAATATAGAATTTTATCTTTAAAAAGAAAACAATCCTGGGAGGTAGGTTAAAGTTGCTGCTAGTCAGTGCCTGGACCAAAGTCACCCATGGCAATTTCGGGCCAGTACCTGATGCTTGGATTTGAAAAGCCTCGAATTAAAGATTAAGAGTCAAATTAAATCTGAGAGTCAAATATGGCGGATATGGGCTCAATTTGCGCAGGAGGAGCTGAAATAATAGTAATGCACAATTCAGAGGGTTGAAAAGCAGCGTCTAGTCTCCACTCAGTCCTGAAGTTCACTGGCTGCTTATAGGCCAGTCCGGGACTCTAAGCCTAGCCTACCTCACAGGGCTGTGATTGTGAGGATCACATGGAGAGGAGGGGAGCTTGCAAGAGGAAAGCTGGGGTACAAACGCAGCGACAAAAGCAATCTCTTTGAACTGGGGGGGGGGCACGGATGATGAAGGCCTGGAGGGGATTAAAAGCTGCGGAAAAGCTTGCAAGGAGCCCACGCTGGGGGTGTCTCAGGGCTCACCGCTCACGCACCCCCTCCGCCCCCACCTGCCAGCGCCTCGCAGCTGCCAGTGCAGGCGGGGGTGGGCGGGTGATTCAGCCCCAGCAAGACGCCCCCACTCCAGCTGGGAGGGGAGGCGGGGCTTGCATAAGGAGGGGGCGGGGCGTCGCCACTCTTTGAAAAATAACACTCTGGCAGGCCCTCCCGCCCTCCCTCCCTCGGGACGGGGAGGTCTCTCGGCTCCCGGCCGCGACCCCGGTCCGGTCCCCGCGCAGGGCTGAAGGCTCGCCCGGGCGCGCCCTCGCTGCAAGGCTCCGGGCCCGGCGCGCGCGGGACACCCCCCCCCCCGGCACGGCTGCAGAGCGGGGCGGGCGGCGGGGAGGGGAGGGGAAGGGAAGCAACCAGTGTCTCTTCCCCTTCTCTTGCACCAAGGCTGCGTCCCCCCCGCGACCCACTTCCGAAACCCCGCGCGGCGCTGGCGCCGCCGCCGCCAAGGCCGCCCCGCGACCAAGCCCGTGCACTGCGCCTTGCGAGCAGCCGCGGCGCCGCTGCTCAGCGCCCGGCGCCCGGGCAGCCCTGCGCGCCCGCCGCCCCAGCCTCCCTTTCCTGCGCCCTCTGGGACGTCCTCTGCAGACGTGCACCCGGAGGGGGAGCAGCATCCCGCGCGGCGCCCGGGCGTGTGCACGCGCCGCGCGACCCGCGCCCCGGGAAGGGGACCGCGTGTGCCGCGCCGCGCCGCGCCGCCC